GCTCCCCAGCGCCCCCAATAGGCCTCTTGGGCGTCGGTGGTGCTCTGCGCGTTCAGAGCGTGCACCCGCGTTCTTTGAACGCGCGTTCAACGCGTTCAAAAACTGAACGCGGAACCCGCGTTCGCGTTCAACGAACGCGCGGTAACATAGTAAGAAGCACAGGCATGCACATCTGACAACAACCTCTTCCTTCCAGAGCATACATGGTCCCTCAAACAGAAGGACAACTCCATGGTCCAGTACCAAAAATCTTACCAAAAGATTGTTCTTCTGAGCAGCTAGGTTTGATGGGTCTGTGAGACTCTCCACTGTGACGATATATAGGTCCAACGAAAATCGGAGGYCCTTTTTTGGGACGTTAGTGGAAATTTGGAACTGTTACAATACAGAAACGAGGAGCCGCTGCATTGCAAGGATGACACATAATCAAGAAAAGGAAGACAGGACAACAGAGACCCCAACCCCCGGCCCTTCAGCTTTCTGAGCTCCTTCTCACACCGGTACTACTTGTGGTTACTATGCCATTCTTCCCCACTCCGCTCCTCCCTTATCCTACAAACCGCAGCATGGCACGGGCCCGGACCATAGCGCTGTAAGCCTATGATAAGGCTATGATAAGCTAAGATAAGCCTATGATAAGCCAAGTGTTAGCATCAGCAAAGGACCTGTGCAGCTACCTATGATAAGCAAAGAAGACTAATATACAAAGGATCTGTGCAACTGTCAAACAGGCAGCATAGCCTTGCAAATTCTAAGGCCATGATAAGTTGATAACCAAAGTGGTACCAAAATCAAAGGGGCAAGAAGATGTCCCCCAAGGGCGACTGAAATACGACGATACCACCTCCGAATGCAAAACGGTACCCACTCAAGGCAAGTCCTAAGGGTCCTAACCAACATTGACGCCATCAAAAAAAGAGAAAGGCAAAGAGCACACTGTGACTTATGGCCCGACAACCCAAAAGGGCCCTAACCAAACATTGAAGCCATCAACAAAAGATAAGGGCCCTGCACTCAGGACGAGGTGCAATCATCGTTCAAGCTCTGCCACAGTAAGTGTGGATACCATGTTACACCATCCCTGATGAATTTGGTGAAGCTAGATGGCCTCGCCAAAGTCTCACGATGAGTCGATCTTTTCAGACAGCTAGACAAAGACATGAACACACTGACAAGGGGGGATAATGAAGACGATGGAGACCACGGCGATACAGAGGTGGACATCACTCCAAATAGAACTGCAGGTACTCGAGCTTTCGGATGTCATGGCTGGTTTCGTAGATCTAATCGCCATTCCGCCAAGGGCACAGTCTTCGCCATTGCCCGTGTGTGTCACCCGCGGGCAATGCTGTGGCTTCGCAGACCAGAGACACCACTGAGGTTTCCTATGAGAGGGACAGGGTTCCTTCCGGGCCCTGGAAAACTGCAAATTTGCAGTCCGTGGCTAGAATCCCCGTTGTTCTGTAGTCCTCCATCTCTCCATCCAGGAAACCATCGCCATTGGCACCCTCGACCTGTGCCTTTCCCTGGTAACCAATAATCATCTTGTAACTCCTCCTCCTCCCCTCCTCCTCCTGCTCATGTTGCTTCTCTGGCTCCCCTTCYTTTCCCTCCTGGAGCCATCCAGTCTTCTCCGTCTTTCTCAGCGGTCTGTAGGTCTGCCCAAGTACTCCGTGCACTCTCGGCGTGTGTCGCAAGTACCGAACGTCGATGTTGATGTGCGATTCCGCGTCCTTTGCAGTTTGCCATTGCCTGCCGGCGGCTCTGAGTCGCATCTTCAGATAGAGCATATCGGCGATCTTGAGGTCGAAATTGTCCTGCTCGAATCCGTCGAAATGCGTTACTGGCTTATGAGATATTTCTATCAATCCATCTGCGAAGCTCATCGACTCACCGGGCTGCAACTTCACGTCCTGTCCGTCCACCATGATCTTCTCCATGTACCCATCCAATCTAGCCGGATTGCCATCGCTTCGAGCTTGCATCACGATGCTATGGGCGTCGAATCTCACGCCCAGTGCTCGTATCCATGTCCGAATGACAGCCTTCCTCTCCCTCCGCCTCCGCCTCGTCCTGCCACTACTACTGCGACTGCTACGACTACCACTACCAGCCTTCTCATCGACCACATTGGCACTGTCATCATATTCGTTCAGGACGCTCCCTCTCGTTCTCCTGGTCCCCCAACTCCTCGTTCTGCTTTCGATGCCATTTAAGTTGTCGCTGAGGTCGTCGTTGTTGTCGTCAATGCTTACGCCGCCATCACTCTCCTCGTGATCGTCGTTGTCTTCACCGACTTCTTCGTTCTTGTGATCGTCCTCAACGATACTTCCGGGAAGCTTCATGGCACCTTCAGCGAAAGGGATCGGAAACTCCCTTGAGTCGTAGTATCCACTCAACTGCATGTTGATATGCAGCCTCTTGTCGGCAATCAAGCAGAAGTTTCCTCCGGGAGTGCCAGAGAAGTCGAAAYGCGTACCCTCGGCCCCGACGAAATGTGGGTCGTCAGTCCCGGACGCGCTGCAATCTCCGCCGCTAATRGCACCCTCCCACGGAATCCAGTTTCTTACGGGCGTGTCACATAGGAACGGACTAGTGTACAGAAGACACGTGGTGCGGGGTCGAGCCCCTGTCCGATTGGTCCACGTCCAGAATGAGCAATCCGGGTCCTCTGCACACGATAAACAACARGCGGACGCTTGCTTGTTCGGTGACGTTAGCGTCTTGAATTGCCCACTGAACCTTCCAGCGAAGATACCTCTTGCACGTGTGCAGCCGCCCTTGCTGCACGTGGCTTTGTCGCTAAGGAAAGCTTTTGGGCATTCCCTGCGTTGCAGACCAGTCGGCGGAGCGTCCTGGCCAGCAGCCAGCCGGACCTCTGGGAGCAGGAAGGGCAGACATAGCATGGCAAACAACACCACACCATAGGCTAGCAGAGAGCCGGTGTTCATCATGAACGCCCTGCAAGCTCGACCGGACTGCCTCCAAAGACTGTTCGTCATCCCCTCTTCTTATAATCCCACGGCCCCTCCTGCTGTTTCCAGTGTTCTTGCCGCTTCTCCTTTCCGTTTGTATCCCTGTCCCGTACGTTACCTGCAATCGTATCAACGACTCAGATTTTGCAGAATGACCATCGAGCCGTCAGGGTGTCGACACGTTGCCTTAGCGGAATGTGTGTGTGTGTGTGTGTGTGTGTGTGTGTGTGTGTGTGTGTGTGTGT